CACACTGGCAGCTTCAAGGCAGTGTAAGACACCGGGGCATGGCAAGTCAGCGTGTAAGTGCCAGAACGGTCACAAGCCCGCAGGCTACTTGAGGTCCTATAAGAAATCAAATCGGATGGATGCCGATAAGTTGCAAAGGCTGACCGCCCTGCGTTCCTCCCANNCTCCCACGAGAGGTGGCTGAAGATGAAACTGATAAGGCGTAAGAAGAGGCGGCGAGGGCGTCGGTTGCCCCAGCGCTGCAACATGGCAGAGAAGGAGTCCTGCAAACTCGCAGTCTGAGCCAGTGTGCCTAAACGGCAACGAGCCCGCAGGCAACAACCCATAATGCAAACGTGTCACGGCAGGTGGATGCACACCACACATGAATTTGCAAAAGTGGAATGAGGTGCTCCAGCTTCGAACACATGTCCACAGTGCGAGATCTGGACTGAAGCTGGAAGGCGAAAATTTGAAGGCCATGAAGCCGCACGTGTACTTCAAGAATGCTGCTGCTGATGGCTCTCAGCTACCTTACGCGGAGGCATGTCACGACTGGAAGGGCTTTGTCCTACATTCTTCGATGAAGATCTTGTTCGCTCTCAGTTGTGGAAGAAGGGTAGCTTGCCAAGCATGGCTTTTTCATCCAAGCGCTCAATCAAGCTTGGTCTGACTACAGGGGAAGTCCTTGTGGCAGACACGTTTTGGAAGGGTTTTTCATCAAGCTCGTCAACGGCCAAACTAAATTCGGCAAAAAAAAGTGCGGGAAGAGTCTAGCTGCCGACCGAAAGTCCACTGAGTCAAAATGCCTCGTACAAGCACCAGGAAGAATGAAGCTGTCTCTTTGCTCCAAATTTACCGCAAGAAAACTGCAGTGCTCTCTCTCAAAGGTCCCCGTTTGGGTTTGCAACCTCTCTCTACGATTGTGAATCAGGGCGCGGCAGCGCCAGAGAAATTTTTTGAATTTTGTTTCGGACGTTGAAAACTGTGTTGCAGGCAAGAGATAGACCGAAAACCCTTTCCAAAACGTGTCCGGAACAAGGACTCCCTTTTGCTGCTGCACTTGGTAAGAACGCCAAAAAGTTTCAACTTAATTGAGACATGTTCGAAACAAGCAGCAACTAGCAACAGTTTGGAGTTACTCGACTGCATCGCTGAAGAAATAGTCGCTTCCCAAATCGTGCATAAGGGAGTTGTGGAGTTTAAGCACAGTGCACAAAATCCGAACCGTCACCTACTTCTCGACATAAGTCTGCTAGCTCGAGAAACCCTGTTCAGATCTGCCGGAGATGCCTTTCCCTGTAAATTCGTAGGAGCAGCTCCTTTGAGCTTTCGTCAGGAGCTCCGCTACCGTGTGAAAAACAGAGCACACAGCTCGG